GATACGCTGCTAGCTATACTGAAACTACACATTAAAGGAACACCACCAATTTACACACAGAAACTGATCCTGAACACGGATGAAGGATGCAAAAAAAAGTTAGAAAAACAAACCTGTTGTAAAATAATAAAGACAGATGAAAGTTTTCAGAGTGCAAACATGATCGACTCAACATGAGATTGTATTTGTTTTTTCAACATGCAGCAAACAGACTCAGTGTGTGTGTGTGTGTGTGTTTGGTGTGTGGTGGTGTGTGTGTTGTGTACAAACATGACTGTCAGGATTCATTGTTAAAAACACTTACCTGATTGGGTGGCTTTTTTCTGATTTTTTAAAATCAATAAATATTCCATTTGACCAATCACTGTGGAGGGATAGATCAGATGGACATGTCGATTGGTCGTCATCACTGAGAAAGCTGAAAAAAGAGAGAAAGATTAGATAGTTAGATATCAAACCACAACAACAGATGAAAAACTAAAACTTCTAAATTAGACATCGATCCAGTAAGACTTGATTTAGTTCACTCTGAATGATAAACTCCTGATTCTTACATGAACTTTAAACCTGACCAACCTGACTATTTGGGACATTTCTGGACCAACAGCAACAACAAGTTAAAAAAAAAAAAACATTTAAAGGAAATCCATAACTTCATCAAAACAAAGAACTTCAGAGAGAATGTGTGTGTTGTTAATCATCATCCAGTGTTTGATGAAAGTAGCAGCGTGTTGAGATTTGAAATAAGAAAATTTCTTAAAGGTGTAATATGTAGATTTTTAAAAATTCACTAAACATCAGTTGTATTTTTTTGTTGATTACTAAGTTGAGTGGTTAGTGCGCGCGCCCAATATATAGAGGGTTTGAATCCGACCTGTGGCTCCTTTCCCGCATGTCACTCCCCACTCTCTGTCCCTGATTTCCAAATCTATCCGCTTATCTGTCCTAAACGAAATCTTTAAAAAATAAATAAAAAAATGTGATACTCAAGTCCGTGTGAAAGCACTCGATGTCAGTTTTAACTGATACGGTTAAGCCTCATCAAAATATTTATATTTTTAAAACTGTCAGTCTGAATAAGATGTAAGCACATTTCACTCACTGACTGACAGATGAGAATCCTGACTCTATAGCATCATCTGCTGCTTCAGCGCCATCTATCATCGATTGGGAGAAGGTCGAGTTGGGCCTGTAACAATAAACACGGTTATGATGCAACTTCACCAGAAAAAAATTCATATCAAAAGAAAATCCAGATTATTTTTAAATATGATATAAAACAGTGGAATCAGTAAAAGAGGTTATGAGTTTTCTTTATCATTTTATAAAATGTTCAACAAACAGGTGACTGATGACCTAGCAGATCGTAACGTCTCATGTATGGAGCTAAAGCCATCCAAGTGGACGACCCGGGGTTCAACCTTTTTGACAAGCAACAGAGTCTGTGAAGTCTGACGTAACCAGGACAGAGATAATATAAGTTACAATGGGTGCGTCTTGTGATAGTATCTGAAGGAGATTTAGGAGCCCTCTCAGTGGAATGTGTACAATGGGGCCCCTGTATCCAGAGAGTTGCCCAGGGACTTCTGGACAAGAGATTGTATCTGTGACCTGAGTTGTCCTTTGAGTTTATGACATACATATGACATACATATGACTAAGACAGAAACCCCTGCAGTTGTATGAAGAGGGGTGTCCTGAAAACAAACAGATGTCCTCATGTTGTTCTCCTGTGAGGTGTGTCCATAAATACCAGAGTTTCTGTGTGTAAGGGAAGAGATCACTTTTGGCTGTGTCTCTCCCAGGTCGAACCATGGCGAGCCTGGCGATGCTGTAACTTGTTTGTCAATAAAATGATCATTATGTAAGCAAGTCAGTGTCAACGGAGAATTCTTCATCATCAAACATGTCAACAACAAGGAAATCCACATCATCTGCTTTATGACGCTATAATGTCAATGTTTGCCTTTCTAATTTGACTGTTTGTGATCAAACCACATGCAGCAACTGGTCCTTACAGGGAAACTATGAAGAATGCATCAGATTTTCCTTTTAGAATATGATATAAAGCAGATTGTGTTCGCTCTGAATGGATGTCTCCTCTTTAAAAAGAAGCCTCCTCTTTTCTCTTGACTATGTCGAGTCCTTTAATCATCTAGAAAGGAGGTCGTTTTTATTGACTTTGTGAATATGTTCAGCACAGAGAACAGGATTAAACCAGATGAACTTTGATTTGAAGTATGCTGTTTTCTCTTCAGGTCAAACACTAACAGCAGAATTATTCACTCATATAGATGCTAAAAATCTTAATAACATGATGTTGACTTACTCATTAAGCCAGTGTTGTAACCTGCGGTTCCTCATTGAGTCAGACATACTGAGTACTTCAGAGTCTGGTCTCTGCACGGCTCTGGGCTGAAAAAGGAAATGCAGAGTTAGGATTCTCCATTTCCTCCTTAACAGACACACACAAATAAACACCTTTATTATTATAGAAGGAAACTGTTGTGCCTCAGCCACTCCACAAATGGAGGTCGTTGCTCTCAGAGAAGGACTTTAAGACGTACTGAATTATATTTTTTTTACCTAAATCACAACTTTAAAACAGAGCGCACTGATCTGACTGTGTTTTTATTTCAAGTTCAGAACAACCTTAAAAACTAAAACATTTGTTTATATTAAAGCTTAATTTGAAAATAAATAAATAAATAAAGTCTGCCTGCACCGTCAGGGTCAGTGAATGCTGCAGATTAAAGTCATGAAGCTCACAGCCGACTGAGCAGAGAATCAGTACAGAAGATATACAAATATTAAGACTTATTTCAAATGTAAAACAAGAACACACGTCATTATTTTCCCTTTAAAAGTCTAAAAAACAAACAATAAAATAAACTACATCTGATTAGTTTGAGGATTTAGAAACACTGGATGGTACAACAGGCCTAGTCTACATTTATTAAAAGTTATTTATTTAAACAGACTTCTAAAATAAACATCTGGGGGCGCTGGTAGTCTGGTGATTGTTATGAGCGGAGGCTTTGACCTCCAAGCGGGCGGCCCGGGTTCGAATCTGACCTCTCTCTCTCTCTCTCTCTCTCTTTTCTGACTCTATCCACTGTCCTGTCTTAAAATGAAGGCTTAAAAACCCAAAATAAACCTTTTTGTCTAACTTATAAAAGTTATTCAAACTAAAGTGTAGGTTTAAATAATGACGTCAAATTGTCCTTTAATATTAATCAACTTTTCTAAAAGTTATCAATATGTAGACTAACAAATGTTATCTTAGGTTTTATAGCGTAAAGGCTGCTGACATGTTTCTTTATTTTGTACTCAAGCTTCTGAAGATATGAAAATGTAAACACCATTAAACCAACTTCTAAATACTGAAATAAAGCTTATGAAGAATTCTTTACCCGTATGAGTTCACTCAAACTCAGATTAATTTCTCAGTTTCATCTAAAAATGTTGTTTGTTTACAATCCGTATCTCTCAGTCCTCACAGGATGTATCTCTTTAAATCCAGCGGTGGTAAAAACACGGATATAAAATAAAGAAAACACGTCCTCTATACATTTTCTGACAAACTTTCCAAACAGAAGGACACAATTAAATAAATTACTTTCTTTAAGGTATATAAAACATGCATAGACGTTACCTTTAGATGGAGAAAAACAAACTGCGACACAGATTGATAAAGAAAGTAATTCAGTGACCTTAAACCTTAAACCAAACAAACCTGTTCTCCTTTAACCCAACCCCTTACACATTACACAGGCTACATTAAAGAGGAATTAAGGAATTTTGACTCCAGCAGCTTCTTCCAGAGAACAAATGAATGAATAAAAGTCTGCCTGCACTGTCAGGGTCAGTGAATGCTGCAGATTAAAGTCATGAAGCTCACAGCCGACTGAGCAGAGAATCAGTACAGAAGATATACAAATATTAAGACTTATTTCAAATGTAAAACAAGAACACACGTCATTATTTTCCCTTTAAAAGTCTAAAAAACAAACAATAAAATAAACTACATCTGATTAGTTTGTGGATTTAGAAACACTGGATGGTACAGTAGGCCTAGTCTACATTTGATTCAAAGTGTTTTCTTAAATAGCTCTGATTTTATGAATATTATTGACTCTGGTGCTCCAGAAGCTTCTTCCAGAGAATGTGTGACTACTGCTCAGTCTGTGTTTTTAACAGAGCAGACACTAATGTGATGTTAGTGTAACAGTGTTAATGATTCCACTTATTCCACTATCTTTGATTGTGTGAATACAGTTTTACAATGGACTGGTACAAACTGTGATGAATCTCTCAGTTTGGTCCAAAATGTGGTTCGTTATACCCTCCTTATCTCTCAGGCCTCACAGGATGTAGGCTATCACTCTAACTACAGCGGTGGTAAAAACACGGATATAAATAAAGAAAACACGTCCTCTGGCCTCTACATTATACTCTATACGAGGGGTATTCAATTAAAATTCAAAGAGGTTCAGTTAGAGAACATTTTCTCAAGCATAGGTCCGGAACATCGTAATGTCTAACTTGAGTTATAGTTCAGTGTCATACACATTAAAGTAGCCTAGTAGTTGTATCAACGTATGTATGAAGTCAACAACTGACTGATTAAATAAAGAAATCCAATAATATTTCAACAATATTTATTCAGATTTCACATTGAACAGGGATTATAAATAATAAGTAGTATTCTAATAATAAACAAATGCTCTCTCTCATTTCAAGTAAAATAAGGTTGCTGCATGTAAAAAATAAAATAGAGCTTTTGAAAAATGTGCATATCAAAATAAAGTGCTTCATTTTTGAAAAATGAAATAAAAAGGGCAGCTTGAGTTTCCCTTTTCTTTTCGTCTTTTTAACTCTGTTTCACATCTTAACAAACAATCTAAAATACTAATAACAAATGATAAACAATCTCGAAACATCTTCACAACTGAACAGCTTTAACACCTAATTTATTCTTTCTTTTCCTCTTATATCCCACTCCCCTACTTTCTCTTGTTCAGTGAGAGAAGTGAGCTCGAGCTTGGCCTGCCAGGATTTTAAATCTGGGCTTGAATGGTGTCAGGGCCATTCTCATACACACGTGTAGGTGCTCATTGGTGAAGTGGTCAAGATGTACAGGGCTACTTTCCTCAGACCTAGGAAAGCTGTCTCTGAGACCATTTGGAGCCAGAAAGTGTCAGGGTCAGTCTCTCCAAAGTTCTTTTTCAGAGCCACATCTCCTTGGAGATCGACCAGTTCCATCTGGAGAGGCCCAGCATTTGCCCACTTGAAGTGCTGTGTGACTTCCTTTGAGAACCCCCTGACATCTGTGATGAGGAATGGGTTCTGAATGAACAGGGTGAGCTGCTGTCCAAGGCTGAAACTGTCAAACCGTTTGCTGAAGTTTACAATCAGCTTGTCCACAAAGTCAACAAAAGAAGATCTATCTCTCTCACCCTGAACCTGTTCCTGCACTGATGGGAAGTGTGCACAGTCTTCCTGCAGGTCTTCCTTGAACACCTCAAGTTTCCTCTGGAAGGAGCGGACAGCTGTCATCAGGTCACAAACTGTATTTTCCTTACCCTCTAGCTTTAAATTCAGTTCATTCAGGTGTGAAGTGATGTCAACCAAAAATGCTACCATATCCATCTTCTTCTCATCTTCTAAAAAGAGAGAAAATTGTGTTGCCTTCTGGCTCTTCAACTGTGCTAAAAAGGCTGCGATTTCCTTTCGGATGGACCAAAAGCGCTTCAACAGCCTGCCTTTGCTGAGCCATCTAACATTGTTGTGCAGCAGAAGGTCATCAGCATTTGCATCAACTTCTCTGAGGAATTCCCTGAGCATGCGATGCTGATGGGAAGAGGATGCCCTGAGAAAGTTAATCATTCTCATCATTGTGTTCATAACCTCAGCATACTCATCTGACAGGGTGGAGCACAGAACTGATTGATGAATGATACAATGGTAAAGAGATTAGCTCAGGATTGTCCACTTTCATTCTTGCCACAGCTCCTTTCTCTCTCCCTACCATGGCAGGGGCTCCATCTGTGGTTATGAAACCACTTGTTTTGTCTCTATTCCCCTCTGTGTTAACATCTCCTTTATGGCCAGGTAGATGTCCTCTCCTCTTGTACTGGTCTGAAGGGGCGTAACACCTAACAGGTCACAGAACTCTTTCTTCTCCTTGTTGAAGAATCTGACAAATAAACTAACAGCTGCGCATTCTCAGACACATCTGTGGACTCATCTACAGATAAGCCTAAGCATGTTGCCTTATGAATGGCTTCATCCAGCTGGGCTAGCACATCCTGGGTCAACAAGTCACTTTTTTTTGTGGCTGATAATGCTGACATAGGTATTTGCTTGATTTTTTTACAAAGCTCTTCTTTTTGTTTACCCTCCAGCAAGGTTTCAGCTACCGCACTCATGCCCTCCTTAACAACCCCTCCGTCAGTAAAGGGTTTTTTATGTTGACCCAAAATCCAAGCCACTCTCAGGGAACATTCATTAGCACGTTGTTGGGCAGTGAATGAATGGGATAGTATCCGGGTGGATCGATCATATTGGGCTCTTAGATCGCTTATTTTCTGTGCCCTCAGTTCGGATTTAAGTGGGTATGTTAGCGCAAAAGAGCTGTGTTGTCTCGTAGTGGCGTTTCACATTCCCGCTTTTAATAATCGCCACGGTCTCATCACGGAAAATATGAGACATACTGGCTTTGAACTGCCAGCGGCAAGAATGAACATGTAACAGTCTGTCCATTCTTGATTAAAAGCTGTTTTCACTGTCTACCTTTCTCTTTTGAGAGCACGCCATGTATTTCCTCTCTCTGACTCTCTTCTCCGACTGTCTGTCTCTCGCCTTTGTTTTCCTCTCCTCCTCTGTGTAGCGGACTAGCGGCAGCTTACTGTTTATTCTCCCTGACTCGAATGCACAGATTTGATTGGCTGAGTATCATTACGTCAGATGACTACAACGCATGCAATTGGTTTGTGAGTTTCAGCCAGTACCGTAAAGACGATAAAAGCTGCGCCGGTTAAAATAGAAACGCTTCGTCAAAATTTAATAATTTTCACTAATTTCACGGTTACAGGTCTGGGTCCGGATAGGACAGCTTCCGGGTCCGGACACGGTCCACCTATTAGGGACCCCAGTTACTGACACACTTTCTAAAAAGAAGGACACAATTAAATAAATCAGTGCTGCAATTACTTTCTTTAAGGTGTATAAAACATGCACAAACGATAGGCCTACCTTTAGATGGAGAAAAACAAACTGCTACACAGGTTTAAAAAAAAAGTAATTCAGCGACCTTAACCACACCTGTTCTTCACTATTTCACTAATGATTTCACTATTTAAATGCGTCTTTATTGGTTTATTTTATATTCTGTATATTACTGTCTTTCATTTGTTCTTCATGTACTGTATGTTATTTAGTTGTTTAATCTGCCTTTTACTTGATTTACATTGTGATATTGTTTTTGTTTACCTGACTGTATATGCGCATTACTCTTCTTGAATAAACCTAAACAAAAAAAAACAAAAAAAAAAACGGGTGGATGCTGCCGGCTCGGGCAACGCAAATGACGCCACTCCATACTGAATGAATCAGACGAAGTAGGAACAAATATCTTCCTACTGTGCGCTCCTACTGAACAGTAGATACTAAGAGTATACAGCACGGATAGTAAAGTACTGTCTACTGCCTGCTGACAGATTGAGTAGGTACTTGGCAATTCGGATGCACCCACAGTCACCACCACACATGTATGGAGGCCCAGAAGTGAAGATTGAGCAGCATTAGCTACCGACTATACCTGTAAGTAACTACAGCTGTCAGATATGTAGTACATAACATATGATATTTCTCTCTGAATTATAGTGGAGCAGACGTATCGAGCGGTATAACATTTTAATACTGAGGATAAAGTCAGCAAGTTAAATTTTACATCAGTACTTGAGTGAATGTATTCAGTTACTTCCCATATCTAGGAAACTATTGTACAAAACCATAACAGACAAACATCTTCTAAATAAAGCAGGTTATATTTGTCAACAATCTCACTCTCTATTACGTCTGGTAAAGACTTCATGACCAGGTTTGCTCTCACAGGTGAATCATTTCATTCCTCTCACCTTCTGAGGAGACAAACTGTCCGACAGCCGACGACCCTCCGCCTCCCGTCTCCACAAACTCCACCTCAGACACGATGATGTTGTCCTCCAGCACGGAGCCGCAGCCCATACAGACCGCATCTCCACGCGCCTGGTCAACATCGATGTCCGAGCTGCCGCAGCTCTTACACACCCTGGAGCTCATGGTGTCGCACGGCAGGAAGCCCCAAAGCCTGATGAGGAAAAGAAAATTCAAGTTTATTGTTTTTTTTAACACTGTTCTAATGCTCTGCCCGGTTTAAACCCCTTTGTATTGTCTTGTATTTTCAATTGTGATCACTTAATGAAGCTATGAAAGAAAGATATGAGCTCGTTCCATACTCAAACTACAACTGTGCACTTAATCACAAATTCATCGTTATTGAGGAATTGCAATAAACACATCGCGCGCAGCTACCATCAAATTAACCAGTTTAATTTATTTTGCATTTTGGAGTTTGGAGATTCTGTTAATCTAGGATTTTCAGGGCCGATACAGATATCGATATTGGGGAAAGTAAGAATCAGAAACCGATATATCGGCCGATATCTTTCTTAGATCTGTGCTGGATTTGTCGAGATAGA